AATCTTTTAAAGTAGAAAAATCTAACCTTGGAGACAGAAAACACATTAGAAACATCATTAAACATCAATTGCAAAGCACTCAGACATTACAATACACCAGAATTAAAGCGTCTTGCACAGCCTGGACTTGTTAGGTCAGTGCTTTCGGATTGCCGTCAACTATCTGCTCACACGCTGCTCTGCTGCAGTTTTCTCCGCTTTCTCTAAGATTAGCATGCCCATGGTGGCACCAGTCTGGCAAAGACCTATGGCTGTTTAAGAAGGAAGCTGAGGTTCAGGCTGCCAGCTAGGCTGGCTTGCTGAGGAGGATGAAAGGTTTCTCTTTGGTTTCTCCCCGCGTTGAAGGCAACTGCCTGATAACACAAGCCGCAGAGGGGCGATCTGGTGGTTCACCTCTCACAGCACAGCTACCTCTGTGTCGGGCATGGTGCGGGGCACCCACGCAGACCTGCCGAGCTGCAGTGGTAGGTTTAGGCTGAGCCCCCGGCACGAGTGAAGAGCAAGAAACTTAGGAGATTATCCTCCAGGATGGCAATAGGCAAGATGCCTAGAGTAGGTAGCGGCTCTAAAAATTGCTTGAGATGTGCAGCCAGCCCTGGCACACCTCTTAACTGAGAACCATCTTTTTACTGGGATAATCTATCACACTTGAAAAATTCTGAAAGGCTGTATCTTTCCCCCAAACCATCTTTATCATTTTAATTTAAAAGCTTTTTAAAATTATCACCCAAATAAATGGTAAATAGAACAGGGCAAACTGCTCTGAGCTCTCCATTAGTGCAAACAATGCAAAGCGACTGTGTTCTATTTACAGAAAATTAATGAAGGTAAAAAAGATGAACTGCGTGTCATTCTAGTGATTATAAGTTGTTTTTCATGCAGTGAGGTTTGCAGCTTTATACATTAAATTCTGGGACAAAAGAACCATCTCTGCAATATTAATAGTTGTAATATATGATTGCATGTGAAGGGAATAGAAATAACATTTATTTTACTTAATGAAGACTAATGAAGTTATACTGATCTTTCCATTACAGCTTTAGCAAGTTTTTCTAATCAAGACAATTCTACTTTTTGAAAGCTAGTTTTCCAGGTTTTTCAGTTTAAGCATCAAAAAATATCAGCCAAAAAAGAAAAAGCTCCTTAAGTAGGGAAATAATTTAAACCCATCTCATCTATTTCCCGGACAAATGACCTAGCAGCAGAACCATAAAGGAACGGAGAAAAATCGTCTCTTCCCTTTTATTGCCACCTGCAATTACAGTTTGGAAAAGCCTGTGGGAATGCCCAAGGAGTTCTCAGTTGCTGATGTGGATCTCTTTCTGTTTGGATCTGTCCCGTATCCCCTTGCAAACTGCTCGGTTTTATATCATGTTCTGCAATATGACTTCTGGAAGGAAAAATGTGGAGTAGTCGCCTAGAATTTTGTTATCTTAATTTTTGTCATATACATCTTATGCTGTGCTGCGTCTCCTACATAAATCTGCTGTCTAACACCATCTCATAGCACTAGTAGGGTTGTTGAGCCTTCAAGCATTTTTCACACCTGACAGCTCCTTAGAATGCATCAATTATATTCCTACCTGTGTTCACAGTTTTGCTGTCATTTGAAAAAAAAAATTTAAAAAAAGGATTGATTTTACTTTGCTTTAAATAGAAGAACTGAACAGTCCTTTATAGCCTTTATAAAAACGTGAGTGAGATAACTAACAAACCTGATAGTGCAATGTGCCTAAGAACTGCCATTTTCAGACTGGCAGGTGTGAAGGAAAGAAGCACGACAAGAAAGTCACACTGAAAATAATATGAAAAGAATCATTACCTGTTAGTACCATTTCTAGTTACATTTATGCACTGAAGCACATGTTTACACACATAGATACATTCAGAAAATATATCTATCCATCTGTCCTATAACATTTCATTGCTATATACTGGGTGAAATTTTCAGATTGCAGTTATCTTGGGCTGAGAAATGACTGGCTTGTCCCATTCCCCCTTTCATTCCCTAGCAGTTTGCTTTCATTTTCTAGAGCCAGGATGCCTTTCACGTTGCCACCTGCCTGGTGCCTCGGGTCCCATCTATCCTCAATAACCTCTTTGTTAGCAGGATGTCACCATTAGACACCAGCTGCCTTCTACACTAATCTCAAAGGGACACTGCTCAAGTAA